CTTACTCGACGCTCTTCCGATCTATTTTGTCTACCAATAGCAACATACACTTGCTGAATGTTGCCATTGACCCCTTTTAGCAACATGCAAGTGACGAATGTTGCCTTTTGCATGTTGCAAAAGGCCTTTTTTCTTGTAGTGGTGACCTGGTCCACCACCATATCAACCTTTTGGGTCCTATCACAATCAGTAGCAATAAACAAAACATGAATTAAAAAGATGGTTAAAATGAAATAAAAAGAAAAACTTGGGAAGAAATTGAAGATACTTTACGACAAGACAATGTCAAATTTAGCTTTGTATCCGTAGTATTAACTTCATTAACTACTATGCGTTTCATATCACTGACAAAAAGGCTCCATCCAGTCGTTAGCAAGTGGTGCTTTGGCCGTCCTGGGAGAGATTAAATCGTGAGAAGTTAAAAGAAGAAACTAAAAATTAAAAACTATGGGGACTAATTATTATTGCAGCCATTGTCATTAATTCCATCCACATATTCAATGTTAGTAGTTAATGTACTCTCAGTTTATTCAAAAAGAAAAATATTCAAAATGAGTCTACGTCTATAAATATGACTAAACGTGCAAAAATTTTCATGCAAATCTTTCGCCACAAGCTCTTGGGCAAGTGGTTGTACAGTGAAGTCCTAAATTAGATAAAAATCCTATCAATACAAGACATAATACAAACATCGACAAAGGTTTGCGAGGTAGGAATCGACTGCGACCCTAGACAGAGTTATCGTCTAATGTACAAGATGAGGGAAAATCTTTTCTGCTGAACGACTAGGTACATTAAAACCACCCTAAGTGCTTGTATTGTAGTGAAGGTACTAAAGAAAATTTCATTTCTGGTTTATTTGCTTTCATTGATAGATCCGATTGGAATAATATATCCTTATCAAACTGTATATTAAATGTGCATAGTTAGAGTTTGTATCATCAAACACAAGATTAAGAATATATTTCAATTAAGACTAATACATACCAAAGGAATTGGATGGATTATCATCTAGGGCATATACTTCGTCTGTTTTTGGATCAGCCTAAAAGATACAACGAGTAGTTTAGAGGCTAGAACGAAACAACTTTGGGAACCTAGTCATTACAACCTTATAAGTAAAAAAAAAAAAACTTAAAATGTGTCCAATGCAATTGTGCCCACGAACAAAAGAACATAGTTATCAAATCATACGAGTTATGAATCTCATAGAGTAACTTAGTACCGTCATTCAATCTGATCGGTGAAACTTGGTATTTTTCAAGGTTGATTAACTGAAGTATACGGTTGTCATTATTATACATGATTGAATTATAAAGACAAGACTTTGGTTTCATTTTAATTTAAAGTACTCTACTTTTATCAATTAAGCAATCAAAATACCATATGGCACTTAAGGCACCAAAGAGCTACTTCATACATGAAACAAAAACTAAACTTAAATTTACAATTCAAAAATGGAGTTCTTTAAAACAGAAGCTCCAAAAAAATCATGTGATGGTTCAACTTCTCAACAGATAAAGATCAACCTTGCTCCCATTTATGCTAAAAATAAGAACAAGTAAAACAAAGATAATACTAAAAATACAGAGAAGGACTTACCATGCTCACAAGTCACCAACAGTTATGTCGGCTTAATAGCCCTCGGATTCCTCAGCTTAATTAATGCAGTTAATGCCACACCAGTATAATTAACAAACACCCTAAGTTGTATATTTTGTATTTCTCCAAGGATCCACAAAGTTATGCAAAGCAGGTTCAACTACTTAATTCAATGGAGAAATTTGAGCATCTTAAAAGAAACTAAAAAAAATTACTTTTAACTTTTTGTTAAGATTTTGGATGTGATTTTTAAATTACTTCGAAATGGAAAAAGTTACTTGCATTGAAAGTAGTTTTTGCCTTACTATAAGAATAAGTTGAAGTAATTATTGTCAACTTTGACATATAAGGAAAATTATTTATTTTAAAACTTATGATTAACTTATAAGTGAATTTTTTAAGCTTAACAAAACAGTCTCGAAGTAACAAACAAATGATTGGCGAGACCCCGCCAGGTGCTAGTCAGTCAGTTTTTACACTTGGAACTAGATAGTTAAATTAGATGCTAGTCAGAAACAAGAAGAAACATTTTACATTGATGAAGCTTTTGGACAAATGAATAGAGCACTACGTCGTAAGGCTCAGTATTAAATTAGGAAATATAATCAAGAATCACCTGGAGTAGCATAGAAGCCTTCACACTGAGAATACCTCCAATGAAGAAAACTGTATTTGTATCAATGCTCAAGTTCTTGAATGAATTAACAACAACTGCAACATCTTGAGCATCGTCACAGTTCAATATCAACAGCCATCATCACTGAATCCATTAATAGTGTCATTAAACTCTTTGTATGAGAGAACATATTGGATCATGACTATCATAACCACATGCAAAGTATAGGCTAAATTATAATACCATATCTCAATGCATAACCAAAATATATAGGTAGCTACCTGATTAGTCTCTGGCTAACAATACGTAGAACAGCTGGTTGTCTGCCAAGACCATATACCACCTCCCCATTTGTCTCTTGGGCTATTTGCCTAATATACTGCAATGCCTATTTTAAAATGGAATGAAAATAGGTTTCCACTATACCCAATTGGTCAAAATTTTCATGGAATTAATATGATTTTACTTTAAAATACAAAACTTTTACTCCTTCAGAAACCAAATTTCCATGTCAAACTATTGCTTATATTATTATGGAAAATAAAATCTTTTGAAAACATTGAAAATATTGTACTCACTGTAATTGTCATATTCTGTGCCACTAGTTTTGAAGATTCATAAAGCGGTCGTAGCACCTCTACCACACTCCAAGCCTGGAAAATGTTACTCGAGATGTCAACTAAGTTCTGGACATCGACCTATTATTAGGTTCTGTAATCTTGGATGCTGGAACAGTTTCTTCAAAAGAAGATGCCAAGCCTGAAATATTATAGCTTACATTCAAACTGATGTTCTCAATAAGCTCCCAAGAGAAGATGAAAAGGGTGAAGACCTTTATTGATTTCGTGAGACTCAAACAACAATTGACATGAAACTAAACAGAACAATCACCATGCATACTTGAAAAAATAAAAATGAGAAACCACAAAATATACTAGAACGAACACCATTGCAAAATTTAGTATGTAAACTAAGATGATGTAGATTTGGCAATATTAGACAATAATAACTATAATAGAGAACTAAAATTTGAATGTTGTACCATTTACTACGATTTAAAATTGCATATAGAACACGAATTACAATGAAGGTGCAACTGAATTTAAAGAGGTCGTGTATTCTCACTCTTTCTTGTTCTAATTTTGGATTTACAATAAAAATGCTAATTTTGAATAACTTTCATCCTTACTCTTAAGAAGATAAATGTAACAATAACGAGAGTAATCGTCAATGAAAATTAAAAAATATTTATTTCCACCACGGGTAACATATCCTTTTAAATCACATAAATCAGAATTTATTAAACTTAAAACTGAAGTAGTTCTATCTACATGTGGAAATGGTTTTCTAGCATACTTAGATTCAATACACGTTTCACATTTTGAGTTTGGGAACTTATCAGTTTTAGGAATGTTTCCCAATCTCATTAACTTTTTAATAGAATTCACGTTAACGTGTCCAAGTCTAGTATGCCATAAATCATAAGAGTCCAGCAAGTAAACAGAAGAAGTATAAGCTTTATTATTGATCACAGAAACATTTAATTTAAATAGACCCTCATCTGCATACCCTTTCCCAACAAAAGTACCACCCTTAGACATTACAACTTGACCACTCTCAAATACAATTTTAAATCCCTTTTTGACTAAAATAGATCCAGACACTAGATTTTTCCTTATATCAGGTACATAAAGGACATCCTTCAAACTAAGGACATTTCCAGAAGTAAATCTAAGTGTCACAGTTCCTTTCCCCTCGATTTTGGAGGAAGAAGCATTTCCCATGAAGAGACACTCTCCATCACTATTAGGAGTGAATAAAGAAAATGCACCTCTCGTGCAACAAATGTGTTTGGTAGCTCCAGAATCTACCCACCAGTTTGTCATGTTGCTCACTAGATTAACTTCTGTCACCATAGCAGAAAAATTCCCATCTTCTACTATATGTGCCTGATACTTCACAGTTTTTCCTTTTCTATTTCGACAATCCTTTGCAAAGTGACCTGGTTTACCACAAACAAAACAATCACCAATAGTTTTATTTTTAAATTGAGGCTTAGACCGATTGTTCTTTCCTATGAATTGTTTCCCCTTGAATCTGCCTTTAAAATTCTGACTTTTAGTATAATTTCCAACAGCTTTCTTACTATCAGAACCTCCTTCAATAAGATTGGCCTTTGTACCCAAGTCTGGTCTCTCCCTACGTTCTGCCATTCTATTGTCCTCTTCAATCCTAATTCTGATAATCAAATCCTCCAGTGACATTTCTTTTCTTTTATGCTTCAAACTGTTTTTATACTCTTTCCAAGAAGGTGGTAGTTTTTCAATTATAGCAGACACTTGAAAACCTTCACATATTTTATATCCCTCAACAATAATTTCGTGAATTATAATCTGTAATTCTTCAACTTGACTTACCACCGTTCTAATATCATCCATTTTAAAATCTAAAAATTTTCCCACAACAAATTTCTTAGTTCCAGCATCTTCAGTAGCATATTTCTTTTCTAATGACTTCCATAATTCTTTAGCAGATTTACACGACCAGTAAACATCATATAAATCCAACGTCAAGCAATTCAGAATATAATTTCTGCACATATAATCATTACGTTCCCAATTAGCTAAATCTGATGTTTCCTTATCAGTAGGCTCATCAGCAATTGCAGAAACAGGTTTATCAGATTCAATAGCATCTACAACTTTAAGAGTTGTCAAATAAAATCGCAATTTCATTTGCCATCTCTTAAAATTCTTTCCATCAAATAATTCAGGCTTTTCAGAATACTTAGGAACAGATATATCTACTGCAGCCATTAAAAACGAATTTCGCTTTAGATTGTTGGATAAAATAATGGTAAAGTGCAGAAAAAACTTATCAATAGATCGAGTCTCGTGACAGCACGATGTCCTAAAGCGAAATTGCCCGTCGATAACTGCTGCGACCTCTGTGGACAATCACCTCCAGGATACAACGATCAAATAAACCAATTGTGCAGCAATCACAAAAGGTTTTCAGAACTCTCAAGTGTACTCCAGAAATATGTAAAACTAAGAACAATATTTTTTCTGTATAGAAATATATAATCTCGTTTTTCTTATTAGTTTCTAATACCCAAAAGTTTGTTTATATAGGCAAAAAGAGATGTAACTTCTTCCACCATGATCTAGTATTAAGTTGCAGATGTAATGGCCAAAGGTAATGAGTATTAATACTGGGCAGTTAAAACTGTCATATTCTACTGGCTAGTTGACCCATTAAATAATTTCGAAAATGATTAAAAAAATAATTATTTTATTAGAATCAATAAAGCCCAAGAGTCCAAGGCCCAATCAAAGACTTTTTAATATAGTGCATGAGGCGTAGCTCGAACACCTGACCTCCCACACAAATTCCATACTTTTCACCAGTTGGGCACTTCATTTTAATTAATTATTTCTTTCACATATTATATTTATTGTATAAATATATAACAACTCTTACACGTATATCATCGTCCACTGAGACAGCTTTATCTTCTGTCGAGTCTTTTTTGGAGCCATCATCGGTCTCGTTGCTTTCTGCATCATCGTCTCCATCCTCAACCATGAACACAATACCCAAACTTTGGAACAGTTTTTTGTAGAAGATCTTACCTCAAAATCTGAAAATTATAAGATGAGAGTAGTCTTTGGATTTGAATTCCAAAAAGGGTATACTAAATAAAAAATCACATCACAGTACCAGAACTTTGAAAGAACGACTACAGCCAAGGATTTTTGTGGAAGAACTGAAAATAACCAGATGAGAATACACCGTTAAGATTTGTGTTCGAAGAACCATAAGAACGAGAAGAAAGCCTTGTAAAATCGACAACCCGTAAAGAAAGATAAGGAACCAACAACAATTTTCGCGAAAGAATCAGATGAGACTTGACTCTGCTAAAAGAACATCTAGATCTTCAAAAAGAATGAAAGAGAGAAAGCGATGAATGCCTTTGTGTTTGTCTTTAGATATTTTGCACGTATATATAATATATAATATTGTAGTGAAAGAGTGGAGAGAGTAAAATAGAAATAAAAGTGAATAGTGAAGTGCGGAGCATCACTCTACACTGTGCGGAGTGAATGTTGTGCACAGTTTGGAGTGAATTTTTTTTTTTTTTTTGTTGCCGACATTGAAAGTCAACAATTGTGGGTATATGTAGAAGAAAGTCCATATTGCCCTTAAAGCTTGAATGAATATGGATAAAATGGGATGTACAAAAAATTTAACTCTGGATAAATTGATTAAAAAATGATCTATTGTAGTAGGGAAATATTAAAGTCAACAATTGTAGGAATCCAAATTACCCTTAACCCACGTGTGAATAGTGGAAGACAGATAGAGGGCAATTGTAGATGATGGATATGGGGTAATTAGGGCTAACAAAAATGCTTCAAAATGAACAATACTTGACATGCGGGCTCTTTTAATAAAAGAGGAAGTGTCTTGCCTTTTATTTAAAAAGCAAAAAAAATATCAAAGCCGCGGGCTACCTCCAAAACCCTAAACTGGCACATTCTCCCGCTCAAAGTCTCAATCAGCACAGCATCAATGGCGAAGCCATCTTTGGATGAAGAAACTGCAAAGAAAGTCATTCGCCAGGTATATACGTCATTTTACTTTCTTTTCCTGCCGTTTTATTTGTGAATAAAAGAAAAAAATTGAACCTTTTTACTATTTGAATTGCTTTTATTTTTATTTTTTTTATGTTGCAGGTAGAGTTTTATTTCAGTGACAGTAATCTTCCAAGAGATAAATTTCTCAAGAACACTATCAGTGAAAGTGATAATGGAAGTATCCTTTCCTGTATTAAGTCAATTTTTGTATATGCAAATAATTGTCTCTTTAAAAGAAGCAATTTCTTTATTGATTAAAATTGAAATTAAGTGATTTATTGTCACAGTCGAGTAGGAGTTACCTATACAATAAGCAATTCTCTTTATTTTCTCTTTTAGTTATTTTATTTTATTGTTTTACTTGCACATGTGCATAAAACACGTATAATCATACATGTTTCTGTATGTTTGTGCTGTTTACGCCATTAATTTGAATTGATACATTTTATACATAAAAATCTATTAATTTTTGGGGAAAGGGCTAATAGGATGTCCAACAGAAAGATCTTGTCCCCCCAATAATGGAAGCATTTCTTTGTTCGTATAAGAATGCTACCAGTCTCTCTTGTTTTTCATTTTGTGCTATTGTTCCTTGGTTTCATATAATCAAATTTGTAATTGAACCTTATAATAGTATATGGTATATCACTGTGCAAGACCGGGTGACAATTATCAAAGTATAGAACAATTTGCTTTTATGTTATATCTCGTGATTTGCGTTTCGTACCTTGCTTGGAGGTCGCATTCCGTGCAAGATTTCATTTTCCCTTGATTTGCGTTAGAGTCTATGTCGGTGTAATCTGTTGTAAACACCTCTATTAGGAAACCTTGTTGTTTCTTTTTGGTATTGAATTTCACCAAAATACTGGAGTTTTAGTTAAAAATATAAACCTTTTTTCTCTTGGTACTTCTGAGCATTTGTTTTCTTAACTGAAAACTTTTAGTGGTTAGTTTGGCATTGATATGCTCATTCTCTCGGATGAGAAGCCATCTGGGTCTGGGAGATGCAAAGCCTGAAGATGTCTCGGAAGACACAGTTAAAGTTGTAGCCGAAACTTTGGGAACCTCTACTTTCCTTAAGGTTTCCGAAGATGGTGAGTTTTTCATAATTTAAACTTATCTGGAGGAATTGAAAAGACTTTTCTGTCATTCGAAGAACGCTATTTACGTAAACGAAAACTTGGTCCATGCATTCATAGCTGTTTTATTTTTCAGGCAAGAAGGTTGGTAGAGTTACTGAGCTGGCAAAGCCGGAGGAGGTTATAGAGCAATTGGATGTCAGAACAATTGCTGCCTCACCACTGGAGTATGATTTGAAACTTGAAGACGTAGAATCATTCTTTAACAAGTATGCCAAGGTATATGATGCTCCAGTTTCATTTATTATCGACTATTGAGCAATCATTTACCTATCTGAAGCTTAAATTTTGCAGCATTTTACTTCATGGTTATGCATCTCCTTAAGAAACAGACATCACAGGGAACTAAGGTTGCATGTCGTATCTAGAGTTGAGATATTAAATACTACAGTGTTTCCATGTAGAAATTGGACATGTTTTAATTAAAAATCATCTTAAGCCTTGTAGAAATTTGATTTCAGTCAGTAGCAATATTTCATGATCTGTTGCTAAAAATTTCAAACCATCTTTTGGCTTAGTAGGAGAGGATAAACTGTGTCGTGATTTCTAATTGAGTTTTTGTGTATCATTCTAGGTTAATAGTGTGAGGCTACCTCGACATGTTGCTGACAAAAGGTTGTTTTGCGGAACTGCCCTTATTGAGTTCTCCACCGAGGAAGATGCTGCAAATGTTTTGAAGCAAAGCTTGAGTTATGCAGGGGTTGAATTAGAACTGAAACTAAAGTAAGAATTAAGAAAATCTTTCCTAGGGAGTTGGTTGCTATATACATTCGTTTGCTTCTAATTACTCATTTAAGGAAAGTATTCAGAACGAACTCTGTCAGGTTCAGATTGATTATAGATGTTTCCATGGAATACCAAACTCTTGTTTTTAGTTTTTGTACAAATTGGTAGCCAAACCAACAGCTTCGTTGTTTTAATATTAATATATGTAGCAAGGGATTAGGCGTGTAGGCATAAACTTGCTCATTTGTTTTCCTTTTAAGGTTTTTCTTTTTCTGCAGCCTTATGACCACATTTTAAGCATCATGAGGTTTGACAATTAGTAGTGGGGTGGGTACGTGTTGGGAGTGGGGGTTTGCCAAACTCCGTAACACAGTTTTTTACTAGTCAGTTTGCAAAAGCGTGGGATTTAGTGTGGTTTGCTACTTGTTGGACTTTTTGATATTTTTCTGGAACTTTACACAAGCATTATTTCTCAGCTCAGCTAAATGCCAGCATTTACTAGATTCATGGTTTTCTGATTTAAATTCTCAGCCAACTTAAATTTTTTATGAAGTGTACGAAACATTATGCCCCTGTTTGACACCCATTTTTTTCTCATTTTATTTCTATTTCTTCATTTCAACCACACATTCTATTAATAAAATAATATTACACATAAACTCAAAAATTCTTCTTACTTTTTAACCACACAATCTTCCATCAATCACTATTCCAAAAATTATTTTTCAAACAAAATGGGTGTCAAACAGGGGCTATAGATACACTATTTTGTTCAATGTCAGAATGGAACTGCCTCCCTTTAATCATTTTACAATCTCATTCTAATGGTACTCATTGATTGCGAAATCATCTTAAGCAGTAAACACCCGTTTACTTGAATAATTCGAATTTTCAATAACTTCATCTTGAAGCTCGATTTCTGTCATTATTTGTGTATGTCTGCTAGTTTCTCTCTCTCTCTCTCTCTCAAGTTTCTCACGTGTGCTTTTTATTTTTCCTGGATTCAGAAAGGACTTTGACGAGGAAAGAGCTAAGCAAGAGGAAGAAGTTGAGAAAACTTATTCCCAAGTGGGTTCAAATCGTAAAAACAACAATTCCAATACTAGACCTGAGTGAGTATTATACTAAATAATATATGGTAATTGTTTTTAAAATTTCAATTATTACTGTTAATTTGATGGTTTTGATGATTGCAGCTATCCTGAAGGCTTAATTGTGGCCTTTAAACTGAAGAGTACCTCCTCTGGAGGTTCTACAGATCAGAATGAGAATGATGAACCAGTGAACGACACAGGAGATGCCCCTAAAACAGATGAGGAAGAGGATAAGCCACAGAATATCACCAAGGAGACTGAACAAAAGATGTCAGGAGATGTCATAAATGAAGGAATCGATAAAGGCAATGTTATGGGGGATGAAGAAAATGAAGAAGATAAGACTGATGCAGGGAATGAGGTTCAAGAATCTAAAGGTGTTGACGAAGAGAAATTAACTATTGCAGATTACAAGGACAATAAAGATGTTGTTCTGCGAGAGGACCTGAAAAGTATTTTCCTGAAGTTTGGCACTGTTAAGGTATTATATTAGTTCTCTTCTTTTTATTTGCTTGGGATATCATGAGATACTTTCTTACGAGTACTATTATGTTTGGACTTCATACATATTTCTATTCATAATTTATTTTATTGTTGCCTTGTATTATCTTGTTAATTGAAATCCTTATTGATTTATCCTGGCCTCCTTTTGGGTCTAGTAAAGCATGTTGTGCAACGTATTTTGAGATTCCTACCCAGTCCATTTCATGGTTAAACAGCGAACGCATTATTACATCATAGCTGGTTATCATTCCCTAGAATCCTTTTTCATCAATTTTTTCTTTTTTTAATTTCTTTTCCTTCCATTTGCATCACCTTGTGTAATTTGATTATTTATATAAGAAAATGTGCCATGTTTAGAAGAAGTTTTCCGCAATGCCGCCTCTATTTAAGTGTAGCATTTTAAACTACATCCTATAATGAATGTAATTTTTTGTATTATTTTTGTGATGCAGTTAATTTATGAAATTATATCCTGAGATTATTAATGTGATTAATGTTAAATTTATCAGTGTTTTATTTGCAGTGATGGTGGAAATATAGGTCCCAATAGGAAAAAAAAGAAAGAAAACACTCTGCTATTACAAAACCGTAAATGAGATTTTCACCTCATACAGACCTCAGAGGTCGCAAATAAATCTTTATTTTTAGTTTTTAGTCTTTAAACCTTTTTCTTAAAAATATTGTAAATGGTGCTATTTAGTCGTGCTTGGAACCGTGTTTTCCTGGAATGTCTTACACGGAATTTTGTTTCCTAAATGTTAAGCATTCATCTTAATGCAACTTAATCAAACATTCAGTCTTTCAATTTTTCCAATGTAGTTCATTGATTTCAAGATTGGATCAGAATCAGGATATGTGAGGTTTGAAGATGCTGGAGCTGCTCAGAAAGCACGTGCTGCTGCTGTGCTTGCTGAGGAAGGTGGTCTGATCGTGAAAAATTTTGTTGCCACTTTGGATCCCGTAACTGGTTAGTAGAAAGCTCTTGCTTTTCCTCCATTTCATTTTCTCCTCATTTTCTATTCATTGCACATAGACGACATAGATTTACATTTCTTAGTTGCCTGATTGAAACTTGGTTTGAGTTTAGTTTAGATATCCTTGCTTTTCAGAATATTCCCCACTGAATCTATAACTTTTGGTGGAGAAGTGATTACAATGAGCTTGTTTGACTAAGCCTAAAAAGTTATTCAAGTAAAATACTAAGAAGCTTGTTTGAGCCTCATTTTTGGTGTAGAATGCATTTGGAATAGTAGATTGATGGAGAATATGGTTAAAAAATGAAGAAAAGTTTTGGGTTTGCGTGTAATATTATTTTATTGAAAAATGTGTGGTTGAAAAGAAGAGAGAAAAATGTATTTTGGAAAAAATGGGTATCAAACAAGGGCTCAGTTTTAAGTTAGAAATAAGTAGTTACTTATTTGGATACTAAGAGTTGCTTTTAGAAAATGCAACTGTTTTTTTATTTGAAAATAAGAAAGTAACATATGCAGTATAGTTTAGAAACAAAAAGTAACTTAAAAAGTACTTATCCTTTAAAAGCTTATTAGCAAACATGCTGTTGGGTTGCTAGAAACTTCACATCCATGATCTTTAGTGCTCCGTATAACTGGTACATGGATAGACATTGTAAGCCAACATATAGGCATGCTTTAATTGTTAATTAGCTAATACCTTATGCTTTGTTTCAATTCTCAATAGTTTCTTCAGTGCTCTATCAATTTTGATCACGGACAGGTTTTTTGGTTATTGTAGAATGTGTGTGTACAATGTCTAGTAAATTTGTTTCTTACAGAGCTGTGATTTCAGGGGATGCTGAGAGGGAATACTGGACTCTACTCCGTACTAATCAAGAGAAGCACCGTGACAATTTCAAAAGCAACTGTAGAAGGTACAAAACCAATGTTCTTTCTTCCTTTCTTCTCTATTTTGGGATTGTGAGATGTTTGAAACACACGAAAGACGTCGGGAAATTTTTTAGAAGGGGCCTTCTTCAGTAGTCAGGTGAAAAACAGCCCACCTCTAAAATTTGTTGTTCAAAGTGAATGAGTACAAAAAAAAAATGGCAATGCTGTGGTGGCCTCAGGGGGAGGTGGATGGGACCAGGAAGGAGATTAAGAAGTGAAAGGGTAACAGCATATCGACATTTGAAAAATAAAGACTTTTTTACCTAATTTTAGGAAGGAAGATTTTTATTTATCATTTTTCCAATCTTGTGTCTCCAACTTAGTCCTGAGACAATTTCCACTTCATTACAGGGGAGGAAAGCACAACAGAGGAGGTAGGCATTTCAATGGAAAGCATTCTCGTTCTTCAGATTCTGCATCTCGTCCAAATAAAGTTCAGAAAGTTACAGCAGTATGAGATATTTGTACCTTCACATCTGTGACCTTTAGTAAAATGCATCACCAATTTCGTGCCTTGTTCCCAATGTTCACCCTCTGGCTTATGTCACTGGTTAATTTTTGCTTCTTTCTAAACAGTAATGTATATTTTTTCTTACCCTTCAAATAATTTTAGTAATGATGATTAAGTTATGCAAGTATTGTTACTATTTCAGAAAGCACATATTCCTTCTAGTCGTAATCCAAACCAAACTGAATATGCTCATATTGAGACTCCCGTCTACCTTTTTGAAGGTAATCACCACTGGTCGAGAGTAAATTGCCTTGCAGCATTGAGGAACTCGACTTTTAATAAACGAAACGTGATATACTTGGGTAGACCTTCAATAGCATAGAACAAGTCACACAAATTGTAAGAACCTGAAGTTTATGTAACCGGGTAATGCTTGCTCCAAGTAATCATTCTTCGTTAGGCTTCTTGTTTGTAACAAGTTACAAGTGCAAAAGTCAGAGAATGTTAATTCAGGTCTTTGATAAACTGTCATGGTCTCGTTGTAGGTGGTAACGCTTAGATCTGGTAATTTTCTAGGCGCTCAAGAACCCTAATCCAATCTCCCTCTTTCTCCCGAATGTGGTGATTGAAGTAATGATATGCTAGTGTGAATGGAGTAAGGAATATGAATAATATTTAAGATATTTTATTATTTACGTGCTGTTACAACATCAATGATACTATATAATATTATTTTTCCTAAAAATAGGTACGTCTCCATATACTATGCCATGTTCGAGTCTCGTTTAAAGAAATAAATTCATTTTTTGTCAAACTCATTTTCAATCAAATATTTTTTTAATAAAATAATTTTGTACGTAAATCTAATATTTTTTTTCTTATTTTTTAACAACACATTTTTTCAAAACATCATTACAAGATCTATTCTTTCAAGGGTAAAGTTATTTGTACATAATTTAATGTACCGAATTGTTTACCCTCTCTCACATGCACGCGGGCCTTGTGTGAATAAAAAACACCGAAAGGTGTGGTCCCCACCCCTCTATTGTGAGTAGTTGGTAAGTGATTAAATAAAAAAAATTCGTTACATGTAACATGGTCCTTCTTTCAAAAGATGAACCAGGGCATCAAGTGGGTTGGTTCACATATTCCAGTATTCGAAATCATCCATTGCGCTTTGGATCTTTCGTAAATAGGACCATTTGAGTTCTTGTAATTATTGTAATCAAATCCAAACTCGAACCATTAGTTCGGATTTTGTTTCGGTTTTACCAATACCTAACACACTACTACTCGATAATAATTGTGCAATGAAGAAAATTCAGTTAAAAAAATTTCAAAAAGCAAATTAGTGGGGACTAAAAATCACGAAAATAAGAGAAGATTAAAACATCAAAAATTGAATTATAGTTTGAGAAGAAATTATTTTTTCTTAATAAATCTTAATCAATATATAAGTGAGACATATTAGAGCCAATAATTTAATTATTAACAATATTTAAATTCTTTTATTCTTAAAACGAACTAACGTAAAAATATTAATTAGATATATCATTATATAATATCAAGAAATTGCATTCCACATATTAAACTCGTTTTATTTGAATAAAAAAGGAAAAATAATATTTTAATAGAGAACCACGAACTCAAGATCACTAAGAAGCTACACCACATCTCAAGATATGAATATGTCAAGTTCAATAGCTATGCGATATGATAAAATTAAAAAATCACTTAATTTTGTAAATAATGCAAAAAAGTAAAGAGTTCGAATTGCAAAGATTGAACGCTTTGATTCATCAACTCACATCATAAAATAATGTTATTCATCATCATCATGATAAAATATCGATGATGCGACAACTTATTATCCCTTACATTTTTCTCTCTCTCGAGACCAGGTTTCACGTGGTGCGGCAGTAGTCTGCTCTGCTGACTACCTTCCGTCTTCTCTCGGTCGTTTCAGGACGAAAGACAATTGATTACAATTTGTAGAAAACTTGGAATATGAAATTGAAATGCATTAAAAGTAAATTAATCATTGATTGCCTGAAAACTAGAAATTACAATTGATGAAAGCAGAAAATTACAGTAGCTAGTGTAAGGGCGAACGCCAGAAAAATTGTTTGAAAGACTAATACTCCCTATAATAGCATTCTGAACAAAAATTTAAGTGATAGGAGTAGACATTTAAATGTCGAGAAATCATACTAAATGTTTTCCAATGTTGCAGCTATTTTACAATTGAAATAAAATATTTACAATGTGCGGTCGAAGTTGGACAAACTGCGGCTGCGATTAGGTCAAGAGGCTAGTTGAAGTGCGGTCCTTGACATTCTCCTCCATTTGTTTTGGCAACGTCCTCGGTGCCCTCATTGCATGATGTTCTTCAATTAATAGTTTGAAGGCTCCTAAGTCTTTTTCTCTTTCTTAAGTATTCTCCTCACTACATCCACTCCATTTGACAAAATACTCTTGATATTTTCTGGAGAGTAGTACGATGGTCTAGTATAGCTTCTGAAACCTTCTTTCCGGCTTATCTCAATTCAAACACAGGTCGTTTTGGCTCATTTCTGGATGCGTCCTCCTTGTCGGCAAAGTATGATTTGAGTACGTCAACATAAAAGACCTTGTGGATTTTGCACCATGAAGAGAGTGCAACTCTGTATGCGACTCTTCCAGTCCTCTTTACGATGGGTATTGGTCCAATATATTTTGGCACCAATCTTGAATATTTCCCTCTTGTCGGCTTATAAACATTTCCGTTAGGGAGTTTAACCATTACCAGATCTCCAACATTAAATTCTAGAAAACGGCGCTTTTGATCTGCAGACTTATTGTACAGATTCTGAGCTTTCTCAAGATAACTCCAAGCAATTTCAATGTTTCGTTCCAATTCTAGAGAGAAGTTTTTTGCTTGAGGAGACTTGGTGCTTTGATCGATATCCATAGTATGAGGGAGTAATGGTTGCTGGCCAGTAGCAATCTCAAAAGGACTCTTATTGGTGAAAGAGCTCTTTTGGGCATTGAAACACGTCTGAGCCGCATCCAAAAGTTTCACCCAATTTTTCTGCGAAGTAGAGATAAAGTGCCGAAAATATTCTTCCAGCATGGAATTGAAGCACTCCGTCTGTCCGTCAGATTGTGAGTGAAAACTATAACTTATGCTCAAAGTTGAACCAAGAAGTTTGAATAACTCGGTATGCCAGTGAATCCAGGATCCCGATCATTGACGATGTTCTTAGGCAGTCCCTAGTATTTGATAATATATTTGAAGAAGAGTTGAGCTGTCTTTTTGGCTGATACATACTTAGAGCTTGTTTGGGAGAGATTTTTGGGGGAAGAATTGATTTTGAATAGTGATATGATGGGAAATGTGTAGATGAAAAACAAAAACAAATTATTGATATAATGGAAAATCTTATTTTATTGAAAAATGTATGATTGAAAATGAGAATTGATTTACTGTAGAAAAATTTAATCCCTCCCAAATAGGGCCTTAGGCGCTGCAATGAAAGTTGCATATTTTGATAGACGGTCTACCACGACAATGATAGTGCCAAAATCTCCAACTTTTGGCAATCCAACAATGTAGTCCATCGATACACTCTCAAATTGTCTAGTTGGGACGGAAAGGAGCTTTAGCAAGCCTACCTTTTTTTGATGATTTGCCTTATCTTGCTGACAAACAAGACAAGTTTTTACATAAGTTGCAATGTCGTCCCGCATTTGAGGCCAGTAGTACGCACATTGTAATAGTGCAGTAGTGCGTTCCTCTTTGGGATGCCCTGCCCAAATAGTATCGTGGCATTCTGTGATTTGTGATTTCTTCAAATCTCCGCCCTTAGGGACATATAGGCGGTTTCCTTTAGTCTTTACTAGACCCCCATCGAGCCAAAACTGACAAGTTTTGCCCTGTTTGATGAGGTCGACCAAATATTGAGTAGTCGGGTCCTTATCCAAAAGTGCTCGAATTTGGTCCTTTATATTTGTAGTAACTGCTCTCCAGGAAAGAGCAGTCATAGAGCAAATGGTGGCCAAGTCGGCCCGACAACTAAGAGCATCGACAACATGATTACTAGATCCGGGACGGTACTCTAGCATGAAATTGAACTCTGAAAGAAGTTCTTGCCAACGAGCCTGTTTTCTTAACAGTTTCGGTTGGACATGAAATGACTCACCACAGTGTTATCTGTCTTCACAATAAATGGAGACCCCAGCAAATAGTGACGCCATCCCTTAAGGTATGGGCTACCGCCAACAACTCCTTTTCGTGTGTTGAGTAACGACGTTCTACTTGATTCAGCTTCCGGCTCTTATAAGCTACTGGATGTCCTTCTTGCATAATGACTCCACCAAGTGCAAAGTCTGAAACATCGGTATGTAATTCGAATGGTTTAGCCATATCCGGTAAGGCTAAGACCGGGTTCTTCCACATCGATTTCTTCAACTTTTCAAAAGTATTTTGGCATTAGGATGACCAGTCCCAATCCTTGTCCTTCTTTGTCAGCTCGATAAGTGGCAATACAATTTCTGAGTACCCTTTCACAAATCTACGGTAGTAATTGCATAACCCGAAAAATGACCGCACATCGTGGACATTCTTTGGTGGTTGTTAATCTTTGATGGCTGCAACCTTTTTCGCATCCATGCGTATTTTACCTTATTCGATAATGTGGCCCAAAAAATTGATAGACGCTTGAGCGAATGAACATTTAGACGGTTTGGCATACAGTTCATTCTCTCACAACGGATTGAAAACCTGCCTTACATGTTCCTCTAATGTCTCGTTGTGGATTACTATGTCGTCCAGGTACACCACCACAAAATAATCCAAGATCCCGTGAAGTACCCGATTCATCATAGTACAAAATGTTGATGGAGCGTTTGTTAAGCCAAAATGCATCACCCTAAATTCAAAGGCTCCATATTTTGTTACCACCGTGGTCTTTGCTTCGTCTCCCTCCTTGATCCGAATTTACCATATCCGGATCTGAGATCAATTTTTGTATAGTATCTCGCCCGACTCAGTCGGTTAAAACAATCGGCGACTAGCGGAATAGGATAACTATTCTTTATAGTGATTTTGTTCAGGGCTCGATAATTGCAACACATTCTGAGAGAACAATCAGCCCTTTTCTGAAACAACACGGGAGCTCCATATAGTGATTTCGCAGGCATGATAATCTCACTCTCCAACATTTCTCCTAATTTTTTTCGAAGCTCTTCAAGCTCCGATTGGGACATACGGTCGGGTGCCCTGGTGGGAAGTTTGACACCTGAAATAGGATCAATCTCATGATCGATTGCCCCTCCTTGGTGGCAACTTCTTTGATAACTCATCCGGCATAATGTCCTCAAATTCTTTAATAAACATTTGACCGGCTTTGGAATAGGTCCATTTGCCTCATCGATCTTCTCTAATCGAAGAGTACACAAAAATGAGGGTTCATTTCTTTTGAAACCCTTACTAAATTGCATGGCCGAGATACTCTTCTCGCCCATCTTCCCAACTTGTGTTGTGATGACACAAAGCTTACTACCCATCATCATTAATGAATCGGAATATGGCAACACTTTTATCTTAGTGTCTCGAAAGAAATTCCAATCCCAAAATAAGCTTGAAGTCATCCATTTGAACTGCAGACAAATTTGTCCTTCCCTCGAAAGGACTTGCCTTTATTGACACGAATTTCGCTACTCCCGCTATTGGTTGAGCAGCGGAGTTGATTGCTTTGACTTTCCCATGACCTTTTTCCAAAACAAGTTCGAACCGCTCTACTTCGATACTTGCGAGGTAGTTATGGGTAGCACCAGTATCTATCATAGCCATAATTTGCTTTCTATTGATCTTCACATCAATGTATATTAGGCCTTTGACTCTACAAATACGAGCCTTCAATTCTTCCATCTTTACCTCTTTCAAGGGAACTTCATTCTTCTTAATAGCTCGGTGCGATAGTGTATTACATCGATGTGAGAATGCGCCAACTACATCCCCGTCCTCTTCGGAGTCGGTCTCACTGTGACAGCTAGCTTGTGGGACATCTTACTTTGAACTCATTCCGCCACTCGATAGTATGCATTCACCATCCGTTTCTGAGGACACTCTGCCACTCTATGGGGTCCTTCACATAAAAAGTAAATCAATTTAGAAGTGGCATCAGATCTGCCCTCTGTTGCTTTTCCTTTGTTCCAGTTGTTACTACGCAGCCGTTATAGTTTCCTTGACGGCTGTTTTGATAGTTCCCTTGAAAGTTACTCTGACGGGTGTCTTGATAGGCTCCTACCTTATTATTAGAGTAATGCTCTCCCCCATTTGAGTTCGAGCTAGGTCTATAAGGTCTACTTCCACCTCTAATAACTTGACACTCTCTGAATGTCGATCTTTTCTCGACTCGGGTTGATAGTCACTTAAACATTCGGCGGCTCCCATGGCAGCGCTCAAATCAGTAACCTTCTGTCTCTAAAGTTCTGTGTATGTCCACGGTTTCAACCCTTCCATGAAGGTGAATAGCTTATCCTTTTCCAACATGTCTCGAACATTCAACAGATGCCCTGAAAAGGCTTTCACGTACTCCTTGATGGAGCTTGTATGTTTCAGTTCTCGCAGTGCACGTCGTGCTCGATATTCCATATTCTTTGGGAAAAATTGAGATCTGATTGCTTCTTTGAGGAGATCCCGAGAATCTATTCGGACCCTGTTGGCCTGAATATCAGCATACTTTGTTCGCCACCATAGTTTGCATCCCCACCAAGATACATGGTAGCTGTTGTGACCTTTCTCGCTTCGTCTTGAATCGAAACCGCAAGAAAGTATTGTTCCATATCGAACAAGAAGTTCTCNCAACAACTTCATTCAGTGCTGTGCAAGCCATTCGGCTTTCATCCACTGGGTGTGTAATTCACGAATTTTCGCCCTCTGCCGCCTCGACTTTTTCCTCGAGGTTATCCGCGGCATAGCACAACCTAGTAGTTGTCATCTCAAGCGCATCAACACATTGTTTTGTATTCCTCTTTTGAGGATCTACCACCTTCCTAATATTCGACTCAATTGGATCCATAACTTTCTTATCGAGGGTCTTAAGCCGCAACTCTAATACCAACTTTCATGTGGTACCTTTCTTTTTAGTACAAAAAGGGACACCGTGCGGCAGTAGTCTGCTCCGCTAAACTACCTTCCACCTTCTTTCGTCGTTTCGGGACGAAAGACAATTGATTACAATTTATAGAAAGCTTGCAACATGAAATTGAAATGCATTGAAAGTAAATTGATCATTGATTGCTTGAAATTTAGAAATTACAATTGATGAAATTAGGAAATTACACTGGATAGTGCAGGGGGTGAACACTAGAAAGTTTGAAAGATTGTTTGAAAAACTAATACCTCCTATAATAGCATTCTGAACAAAAATCTAAGTGATAGGAGTAGACGTTTAAATGTCGAGAAATCATATTAAACGTTTTCTAATATTACAATTATTTTACAATTGAAATAAAATATTTACAATGTGCGGCCGAAATTGGGTGAACTGCGACTACGATTGGGTCAAGAGGCTAGTTGAAGTTGCGGTTCTTGACACCAGGTCTCCTCCACCTCTCATAAAAATTGAACTACTCAATCTCATTATCTCACACAGACTGCAACATCACTGATGTCCTATCATCATAATGATAAACAACATTATTCTACACTATAACTTACCTTAAACTTTTGATTCGTAGGAAGCCTAAATGCAAATATTAACATGTACTAGCTTCTGAGATACAACAATCTGATATGAGACGAGAGGTAAAAAAAGAAGTAATAATCAGTCTTGATTTCCTAAGGGATTTTTCGGCATATTACTTCCCAAATTGCAATTTTTAGATTTTTTCTTTACTCATATTGTGAACTGTAAATAAAAAATTATGCCCCTATTTGGGTCACATTATTTTTTTCGTTCTCATTCTTTTACTCATTTTCAATCACACATTCTTCCATAAAATAATATTTTTCATCATATCAATAACTTTTCCTTCTTTTTCAACCACATATTCTCCATCACATCACTTCAAAAAAATACATTCTCTCATTTTAATGTGTACCAAACGGGCTCTATATAAGAAATTGGTTCCATTTAGGTACCCACAATTTTGGTTCAGATTATCAACAATCGTCCTGGACCTAGTCTATTCTCGACTCCAATTCCTCTTTTTTTTTTTTTTTTTTTTGAATCAGACAGAATCTCGATTTTGGTTCGAGTTCGATTTGAGAGATTTGATTCTGATTAAGATGTCCAAGCCAAATATGAACTCGAACAGGGGCTACAAAACATTATTCTCCCTAAAATGAAGGTACACGTGTCCACATTACACGACTCCGTTTTACCAATGCGACTTCAAATTTCCATAAACTCGACCTACCTACCTACCAATCTCTCTCTCTCTCTCTGTGCAGAGATACATCTGTATCTATTTGTTCACCAACACCTTACTGTTTCATTCTCTTCCAATAAACCCTAGATCTCCGAAATTGAAACCGTAGTTAATCAACAAAGTTACCAGAAGCGCTTTAACTTGATATATTCCGTTTGCATTGGAATTTGATTCCGATTTTTGTTTGTGCATTTGAGAATTTTGAATTTTGAAAATTTTTGTGAAGGAATGATGGCTGAGATGCACAATGGAGGGCAGTAAAGTAGTTATCAACATTGTTGAAAGTAGTAGAGAGAACGGCAGCTCCAGCGATGGTCGCCCGCCGATTCCCAACCCTCTCGCCGCTGCCGCCGCCTACCAACACTGCCTGAGCTCTGGAAGCACACCGTCGCCGTGTTCAAAGTCTCTCCTTCGACACCCGTCTCTGGTATTTTTTATTCTCTCAAATTGCGTTAAAAAACTACTATTTTTATATTTTAATTTTATTTATGAATAAATTGTTGCATTTGATTCCTCTAAAAAATCGTTGCATTTGGTAAATTATGCTCTTTTGAAGCTAGTAGAATTAATTATTAAAATTTTAATTTATTTCTGCAATTTTTAGTGGGTTGTAATTAGGATACTTTTATTATGTACAAACTAATTCTTACTGTTTCAACTTAATAAAAATACAACACAATTATAGTTGATTAAGTTAACAATGCTGTATAATCTTTTAGAGGGTGCATATATGAGTCATGGTGCTTCTTATCAGAATAAAAACATTTCTGTTAAAAGGGGATGGCCCAAGGCTTGATGATGCACAACCTCAGAGATGTTATCGATTTATTTCAAAATGCCTGCAGTATAGAGTTGTTGAAGCGCCTTGAATTCCAACTAGGAATTTTGGGTTGGGGGGTGTGGACAACTTAGCCGATGAATTAGTTAAAAAAAGAGAGATAACATCATGGAATGAGGTTTTGTGCAAGATAGGAGTGCATTAATCTTAACAGTAAGTTAAGAATGTAAATATTATAAGATATTGATTTAATAACCTATATAAAAATAAAAATATAATGCTGATATCTATTCTTTTGCCTAATTAAAGTCTTGATCTGTTGATTAAGTACTGTACTTAGATATACTTCCAATTGACTCCCAAACCGAACGTCATTAGATGTGACGACTTATAGATATATAATTATTCATTTAACAGGATAACGTTTATATATATCCGTTGCATACGGTACTGGATAGAAATTCACTCCAAAATTGAATTTCATTAGATGTGATCTTATAGATATATAGCCTTTGTATGAACCCCATTTTTTTTTGGGCAAAATGTATTTTTGAATGGTGTTTTGTTGGAGAATGTGTGGTTAAAAAATAAGGAGAATTTTTGGGTTTATTTATAAAATTATTTTATAGGAGAATGTGTGGTTGAAAATGAGCTTTGAAAAAATGAGTTTTTGAAAAAATGGAAGCCAAACATAGGCAAATTTGTCATTTAATAGGATGGTGCTTACATATATCTGTGGTATATGCCACTGGGTCTGTCCGCTCTTTGGATTATGAATTGCGTATGAAATAAAGAAACACGAAGGGTATACACGAGGTGCATGAAATACTTTCTCATCTAGTGTTCTAAACATCAGTTTGAAACACTAGTTGTATGTTATTGTATGATGATAACATTTTGACAAAAACTTTGGCAGGTGAAGACCAGGTCCTCCAATATTTCCGCTGAACCAAGACTGAATCGAGATGATAGTGAGATTGATTTCATTCCGACACTTCGTTCTGGTGCATGGTCAGACATTGGTATCCGCCCCTGCATGGAGGATGTCTATGTTTGTGCTGACAATCTGATTCTTGATTATGGGGTTAAGAAATCCAACGAAGGACCTAATGCATTCTATGGGGTAATTCTTCTCCTCTTACACAACACATGTAAAGGTGGTTTCATAACACTGATTAAAATGATTATTGCTAGTGATTTCTCATATCTGCCTTTTATCACGAGTACTTGAAGTAGAACAAGGTTTCAATAAGTGATTAAATTGGTTCTTATGAGTTCGGCATACCGTTCCTTTTGAGAAATTTTAAGCAAGAACACTAGGCATTTCTTAACTACTTTTTCTTATTTTCTGAAATTACTTGGAAGTTCATTTTGCATTACTGGCTTCGTTTAGTTACATTTTCTCTAGAACCATTTGTAGTCCAAGATTTTATGTTATAGTTCCAATTTACTGGCTGCATTCAAATATATAATCTAGGATTCAGAAAATGGGATATTTGAAGCAATAGAATTGTTTGATATGCCTTACTTTCTCTTTGTATCTGATAAGTGTGGTATTCAGTACAATGTTTCCCTTGATTTTGCCAGGTTTTTGATGGACATGGAGGAAAGCATGCCGCTGACTTTGCATGTTACCATTTGCCAAGGTTCATTGTTAAGGATGAAGATTTCCCTAGGGAGATTGAGAGAGTTATTGCATCAGCATTTCTGCAAACGGATACTGCTTTTGCAGAAGCTTGTTCATTAGATGCTGATCTTGCTTCTGGTACCACTGCTTTGGCAGTTGTTGTAGTTGGAAGGTTAGAGTTCTTTTAATTCCTTAAATAGGAACTTGGTGGATGGACTCTTGAATCATTTCAATTCCAAAATTCCTTAACTTTAGAATATGGCTTATGGGAGGTCTACCATTATCATTTTTTTTGTTAAATGATGATATTATATTCATTATACCCTTTTTATAGTTTCAAATGGTAATTTTTATTTTTGTGAATTTGAAAGAATTCAGTAGGCCTGGACATGAACCAAATAGAATTTCTAGGTATTTAGTAAGTGTAACTATCGAGTTCAAATTTAATTATGGAATCTGTTCGGTTCAATTTCATTCAATTTGTACCATAATTAATTTTTTTAAAAGTTACAACACTACATTAATCTAACAGATAATATATTCAATCTTAACTTTAAAAAAAAAAAAAAAACATAATCCAAATTTAAAAATATACAAATAACAAGTTATCTAATAAAATCCATTCACCAATATATACAAATTATCAAAAAGTAAATAATAACGCTAAATCATCGGTGATTACACCCCATTGATTCCTTTGCTTTAAATAAAAAGAATGAAATATAAAAAGAATATTTTTTTAAAAGAATGAAATATAAAATAGAAATTATAGAAATAAAATATTTTTTAAGTACTGCTAGTACACATCAGCTATTTAATTTAATTATCCATTGCTTGACTTGTCTCACTAATAAACTCTGCAAGAAATAATTGAATAAGTACAATTAACAATCATATATAAACTAAAAATTATCTAACTAATCAGACTGTTGTATCGTTTGTGTTTGCATTTCTACAGTAATAGTACCCAACGTGCTCTATTTACCAATCAAGCAAACGGTTTTCAATAAGTTTCCCAATTGTCTTCCCTTTATGATTTGGAACAGCAGAGAAACTCAATATCATCTTACGCAATTTCCAACTTCTATCAATAAAGTGAGTTGTTACTACCATATAACAACCAATGGTTAAAGAAATCATTTGCCTATTATTAATAAATTCAATCCTTAATGATTCCTTTGTTTCAGAGTAGAGATGGAGCACATCTCTAGCAATCGTTCTTTGAGAAGAAACCTCAAATATAGGGTAAAGTTGTCGCACAAATTCCTTAAAACCCACACTTTCTACAAAGGAAAAAACCAATTCATCAATAATAATAATTCTAACTAATGCTTTTCTACATTTTTCTTTATTAAACGCCATAGCCGTAATACCACCATCATTGTTTTGTCGAGTATTGCATGCTTTTCATCAACCTTAGTGCTCTTATATGCAATTATGCATAACAAGCTTTTAAGTGCTTCCACATGCTAGAAGTTCCATTATTAGTATCAACTTTTGATGTTCTCTCACAATAATTACATTTCTCTTTTTGTCGTGTAAGTATCTTACAGAAATGAGTCCATATTTCTGACCTCTCATTAGGTTGTTTTTTGGTCTCCCATTCGAGAACCTATAAAATAGCATTCCCGAATTAGCCTTTATATGCCAGCGATCTGGGTTTAAAAATGAAGTATGTAGAAATTTATGAATATAGGATTTGATGACGTGGTTTGTGTGGATCTTGAGGAGCAAAGAAGAAGTTGTGACTTGTGAGAGGGGAGCGGTTGACAAAGATGACAACATGTAAACCTAAATATCAAAATGAGTGTTAGGTGAATTGTGAAGTGAAGTTGCGTTTTGACTGAAATTTGTAGGAAAACAATATTTTTGGCTCAAGTTGGGCTTGGCCCTTGGGAGTTGGAGACTTGGGTATTTACAGTTAATGACTTAATTAGTTAATTGATAAATTTATTTAAAAAATTAAAATAAATTGGCTTATTTAATATAAAAAATAGGAAAAAAGTCAGGGAGATTCGATTCTTCGTTTCTTAGTCAAGAACCAACTAAACCCGTCGGTTCTCTATTCTAGTACCCACTCGAGTATTTAACCTAAGAAGAGCTGCTCAGTTCTGTTCGGTTTGGATTCAATTTGGTTCGTATGTTTTGTTCAACCCCAGGCACAATTCTAGATCTAGTCAAGTTATGAACTCTGAAATGTTATGTATTGTGCTGCACATTTGAGACTTCCCAAGTAATACCAGCCTTCGAAAAATAATGTTGGTTGATTAGAGCATTGTTAAAAGATGTGTGTTTCTTGATTATAGTTCTAACAGAATTTTAAGACTAGGATGCTTCGTGAAAGATGAGAATATCTGAATTTTGTCTTTAGACAGTTAAAACTTGACATCAGGTTGCAATACTCAGACAATTACAGTTCAAGAATTTGTTGCCTTTTTTCCTCGAAGAAATGTAAGAAAATTTGAGTTATGACTTGAAAAGTCTATTTTCCTTTGGAATGTGGTGCACCATATCTGACTTGTTTGCATTGGTAATTTCACTTGAGACAGCTCACTAGTGGTGGCAAATGCTGGAGATTGCAGAGCAGTACTATGTCGTCGTGGTAAAGCAATTGAGATGTCAAGGGATCACAAACCTGTTTGTTCGAGAGAAAGAAGGCGTATAGAAGCATCTGGAGGATACATTTATGATGGATATCTCAATGGACAGTTAAATGTTGCTCGTGCTTTAGGAGATTGGCACATGGAAGGATTGAAATGCGTGGATGGTGGACCACTTAGTGCAGAGCCTGAATTAATGAGCACAAAACTAACACCAGAAGACGAGTTCCTCATCTTAGGCTGTGATGGTGTATGGGAAGTTTTCATGAGTCAAAATGCTGTTGACTTTGCCCGTCGAAGATTACAAGAACACAACGATCCAGTGAAGTGTAGTGAGGATCTCGTTAATGAGGCTTTGAAGAGAAAGAGTGGAGACAATTTAGCTGTGGTTGTAGTGTGTTTTCAACAACAACCGCCTCCAAACTTGGTAGCTCCTCGCGGACGGGTACACAGGAGCATTTCAGCCGAAGGTTTGAAGGAGTTACGAAGCTTCTTGGATAGCCTAGAAAATTGAGATGGACATGAAGGTTTTTTCTTCCTCTTCATAATTTCTTTCCGTTGATAAATCTTTACATGTTCTCATTGATGTTGAGTTAGGAGAGGATGTATTGTCCAACTGTAACACATGCGGCTCTGATTTTTTTTAGGTTCCTTTTTTCTCCTTCAGATTTTCTCTGTTTTCCTGTGACATTCCAACTAATGTTAACATTGTCTTGACTATAGTGCGTATGATCTTTTGCATGAATCATTAAATCTTGTTTACCTACTTTGCATTAATTAGACATATTTTGGAAGAAAGAGTCTTGATACAAATGCTCCTCCAATTATTGATTATTGCAAGTAGTCGTGTATTTTATTTCCCAAATAGCGAAAGTAAAATATATTATTTGAAATATTTGTAAATGTTATGACATGTTTATCAAGGTGAACTCCTACTAGGAAATTTTAGATTCTCTAAAGGTTGCAATTATCTATGGGTGTCGGTGTGAAACGTTTGAAATTTTTGGATGATTCCATCTGTGAGTAAATGGCACCTAAATTATGCATATATCTATGCTAGATAGAAATATACATTTAAAGACGTTTGATACGATCAAATACATAAATTTTTATATATTTCTCTCTTTTAGTTTTGTTCATTGAAACATAATGAATATACCACAAGATCTTAAAATCCCCACTAGATTTTATGTTCTAATTTTCTTGATACCGCATTTTTTCCACTAAATGAAATGATGGGTTGAATTTCGATATTTTAAAGGTTAAGTAATTCACAAGATCATAACATTTTTATTTCATAAGCTTGTGTTGCTACTTATTCAAGAATGCACCATTTTGAGGAAATGATTAGTGCATCTTCAAGAAGCATTGTTACTTCATCTTCTGGTAGTGTGATAACCACTCGGCTGAATGTAATCCCTGCCGCCTGCTGGTGGTGGCAGGATCAATATCTGCCCTTCTCCAATGGCTGGTTCAATTTAATATGAGACACCAAGTGGCCTAGCATTGTTTTCCAAAATGGTACCCGTCCTCTAAATTGACATAAATGAGATCATAACCGTTCATCCATGGTGGATTCTGCCAATTTCTTAATTTCAACCACTCGATCAAGTCTATAATCCTGTCAGCGTCCATTTTTTAACAACTTCCTTTATAGCATTTGCAGCTTTACATAATTCATGGCCTTCTATACCATCTCCATTCACCTTGCTGTGTTTCCAGAAAAGCCCAGTCTAGCACTTTTCTCATGTCTAACATATCAACATGTTGGTTAAACGGCCTTGCATTCCCTTTACTGTGCTGACCACCACCTAAAATATGGCTGCCAGGGCCTCAAATGTTGCCCAGCTTGAGTCGTCAGATGCAATTTGGGTAATGCAGCTTCTAACCATTTCATCTTCGAAACTTAATGTTATGGTTACTTGTTTCATGTCAAAAACTGGAGCTGGCTTCTCTATAAACAACTTGTAGTGCTCAATCAATTCCACGTAAGTTTCGTGGTTGGTGTTCGTGTTGGCCAGTGTGTCAGCCCATGGTTTCATAAGCATTGTGGCGGGATCTGAAAGCAGGTGAGTGCAGCTCAATCCAATTGCTATTCCGCCTTCTTCAAATTCAGTAACCAACCAATATGGAAGGAAAATGAATGGAATTACATATGCAAATTTTAGATTACTGGATGTTTAGACTTATCATTTTTGTTGGATCTGTACATGTGAATATTGATTGTACTGCTCACTTTTCTTTCGACTGCAGTATCAGTGAATTCTTTTTATTAGGTCATTCTAATTCTCTACTGTCATTCATGTTTACATGAAACTTTAGATATTCGGTTCAATTGTGTAACCATAACCTTAACATAAAAGGTCGACAAAAAATACGGCTTGTGGGACATCTCCTTCCAATGAACAAATTTAAGCTCATTTTCCCTATCCAAAATCAGCAGCCACTCCTTGACACTGCCTTTCACCCTTGCCTCGACTATTCTCATGACGGCATCATTGCACTTGATCGTCCAGTGGTCTTCCAGGGTCTTCAATAATCGTCCTGTAATAAGCAGAAAGCATTTCGGCATTTGCCTCTTTTAAGTTTCTTAGTAAGCTCTCTGGGATTCCTCTCCACCAGAGACTCGTAATAGAGAACAATGTGAAGGTAATTGCATTCCATAACGCGATCTAGAACTGACTGAGGGCAGAACTCTCCGGTTTGCACGGCTTTTGGGCTGATAAACGTTCGTTTACAGATAAACGTAACTTCAGCCATGGAGGAAAATCTTTAGTCTTCTTACTGTACATATGCTTAGGCCTATGCAAAATATAGATGCACTATTTGCAGAGTATGATTTATGGGAAAGGGCAAAACAAACCCGTAATTTGCTGGAGAATGAAGTTTCCAAGACTATTTTAACAGTTAGCAGAATTTAATTTTATGACCAGTGTGTGTTTAATTGTTTGACGAAACCAGGAAATGAGAGAAAATGCTAAAATTGTTAATTGTCAATGTTAACTGCTTCAGATCACTCCCTGGTGCAACAAGAAAGTGTAACGAATGGAATTAGATTAATGAAACGATCATTGATTTAGACAAATACTGAGTACAAAATTTCCAGAAAAGCCAATATTTCGGTGGCAATTATCAACACACAATTATCAACACACGATATGACATCTCAAACACGCATCTAAGTGTCCAATACGTGTTGAAAACCAACGCTCTACTCTAGACAAATATCTCTAAAGTGTATGACATTTCACTCTGGACACGTGTCTCTCAAGCGTCAGATTACGCGTTAAACATCTAAACTCCACTCTATAAGCAATATCAAGGTATATACAATATCAGCAATTACATATATCACCATTACCAGCATTCCTGTTGGTTATAAATATTCAAATTTATCTTAGTATGCTGAAAAGGCCCACAGAGTGCCAAATAATGCTCCAAGTTTTAAACTTAGATAGCATGATTTTTCTAACAGTACAATTTTAGTTCAATATGGGAGGAATATAGGAGAAAAAAGGCATGTTTTTTTGCATCAACTCTCGGCAATCTCCTTCACTTGCTGTCCTTGGATCAACAAGCTTTCCTTCAGAAAGGATTAAACCTTGTTTTATACGTCCCAGTCGTCTCGAAAATAGAACTTGCTCCGAAACAACTGGCAGCCGAATAGATTGATATTCTTGAAGAGCTGAATTTAGACTCCCCACTCCCCACTTCTCAAGGCATTTGCCCAAGACTGCAGAATCTAATATCGACATGTTTGTACTTCTCAAACCATGAGGTGTCGTAGGGTGAGCTGCATCTCCAATCAAAACCACGTTGTCCCAAAAGATTTGGTCAAGAGGCTCACTATCGTATATGACATTCAAGAATGGTTCCTTTGTTTCACGTATTACCTTTACCAATTCGGGGACCCAAACCTTCTCTGCTGCCTCGTGCATCTTCTTGATCATGTCGCCGCTAACTTTCATGGTAACCGAGTTTCCCTGAGTTGGAGCATCAAAAAGTACCTTGAGAAAAACAGCTCCTATCTAAATATAAATCACCCATTTTGCATTTTCAAATAAGCCATTGCACAAGTTTTTAGCTCCCTGCGTCAAACCCTTACCCATCAAAACATATTCATGGCATGTTTGGTAAACGGATTAAACATCTTGCCCCTCGTACTATCCAATGCAGTCTAATACAATGCACAAAACATGCTACTAGGATAGGTTTGGTAAGAACATGCAATGCAGGATAGGCTTCCCCGTCAATCTCTATAAAGTGTCCAATGGAACTTGATTCAGGTGCTTTTCCTACTATCTCTACTATCCACTGTAGTCTACCAAACATGGAATTAAAGTTCAACAGGTTAGACTCGTGAATCAATTAGGGGAAAGAGATTTCCGTTAATTATGTTAAACTCAAAGCATATAATTAAATGGGTAAAACTGAAGGAAATAACATACCTTAAGTTCAGGCTCGGGTTTATTAACGTACCAAATCCAATTAATTCTTTTATTCAATAGCTCATAAAAAACACTGTGGCCTCCTGAACCCAGGTCAAAATATAAGCATCCACCTAGATCAGGGTATGCCTTCTTAAGCCCAAGAATGGTTTCAGAGTTCTCATTATCTGAAAAATCGAGGACCCCTCTCCATGCACAATAACCTGAATACCTACCATAAAAGGAATATAATTACAAGAACAGCATCACTTTAATTTTTATTTTGGAATAAAAACATAAGGCTATCTAGAGTTCTATTCAACCACCTCAGTTTAAGGTCAGGATGGAAACTCTGTCGAATTGAAGAAAGACAACCATCGGCTGCACAAAGCAAATCGCCAACGATATCAATTGTATCGCCTGTTTGAAGAACTTTGGTTCTTACTTTAACGAAGGATTTGTCATCAGAAATAGAAAAGGAGATGAACAGATGTCCCCACAAAACAATCCCCTGTGGTAATGCTTTGTACAGAAGGCTATGGAGGTCGGACCAATATGCTGCTCTAAAATTGAAGTTCTCATCTCTTGTCAGTGTCCAGCTGATTTTATTGTTTCCATCTGTAGCTTGGTTCTGCAATTAAACAAGAACATTTACAGTCGAAAACATAGAAACTCCTTTTTTATTCCAAGTCAATGAAAAGTTTTTGATCCCAAGAGTGCATTTGGCTTAATCAATTAGGAAACAACAAATATAAGCTACTAACAAAAAGATGGCTTTTTTTCCACTTCCTCTCGTTTGGAAATTGTGAGACAGAAACAGAGCATTGAAAGCTCCCATCAGTTTATTTCGAAAAAGCACTGCCCCTTAAAAGGATCTTTTTGTACATAAAAAATATGGCATAACTGGCTCCCTGCTGATGAAAAGGTACAACATTGAATGAGAGTAAGCCTAGCTTCACAATTTCAATATCTCTGGAACAAATTTTATACAAAGGATCCATTGCCAAAGAAGTTTGGGCATTTGGACATTTTACGATACCAGGTATCATTGCTGTCCCCTTTCTTCACTAAGCCCATTATGCGCTTTCAGTTTTGGAGGTTTTCTGGCAGAGGTTGTAAACAGGTTTTTGAACAATCTATCATCCCCATTCTTATATTCTGGTTCTTATGGATTGCGAGAAATAATTCCAAACATTCTGGTACCAAAATGAAAGCTGAAAGAGTTATAAAAAAAAGTAGAGTATTATATGAAAACAGTATATGGGAAATGCAGGCCTGGGAGCCATGGAAATAATCCAAACAAAAAGTAGCCAACAACTGATATTGGATTATTGGAAGAAATCAAGTATGGGGATTGTGAAGTTGATCGCTGATGGAAGCTATAAAGGTGCTTATGATCTTGCCTCACAGCAGCAGGGGGTGGTGTAATCAGGAATAATTAAGGGGATGTAGTGCTGGCATTTTATGAGTTTTATGGATCATGCTCCTCATTAGAAGTAGAACTGAAGCTCTAATAACGGGGTTAAGGTTATATGTTCAACATGGAATATGCTCAGTTTGGGCTGAGGTGGATTCTCAGTCTTCAATACAACTGATAAGTAAAAATTTTTCCAGGACCTTGAAAAATCAATATAGCTTGGTGGAGCTTCATTATTGGTGGGAAGGGTGGATGTCTCCTAACATATTTGGAGAGAGGGGATAAAATGGCGCACTAATTAGCTAACACTGGCTATAAAGAGAAATCATTCATACTGCTACAAGCTAGAGATCTTACTGGGGAAGTTACTGGTTGATTCAAATACACAAATGGGAAGTTACCAATTTGAGATTTAGATAGGTTCTCTTTGTATTTTTATTTTATTTTTTTTAAATTTTGTTATAAGTTTGTGTGAATGGTATAGGAACTTGATGTAAACCTGAGGAGGTAAGGTTTATATGTCCCCTTCCATGTACTAATTTTCATATCAATATACTAGGGCAAGGAACAATGAGAACAAAGAAAGAAGAAATAATCTTGGCCAGCAATTGCTCCTTGACATGACCAAATATATTATACATATATAAATCCAAACCTTTTCACGAGTGTTTGAAATTCTTAACAAAATGAGCAAAGGCCATCAGTTGCAGAAATCTATACAGTCACTGAGTGTCAACAAGTGTTCGCTTCCACTTGTGGTAGGATATAAATGTATCAGCTGAATCCATCTTTCTACTTCAAAATGTGTGCAAATAACAATATAGAAGATAAAAACAAGTCTAGCCTCTAGAAGAGGATAACTTTCAGGATGATAAATTCCACCACAAGATGTAGGCAGTGTCAACTGTAATCTATTGTGGGAATTCGATCAAATATTTAAAAGCTAGAATTCTAACTTCTGTCAAGATCTACAAGTGAAGGGACAGTCCGAGACTGACAGTTTCTAAGGGCTGTAAGCCTCCAGAAAGGTAACTAAAGTATGCAAAATTCTCATCAAACGGAAACTTTAAGGGGCTTGATTGAGAGACCCTCCCATTGAGCACAAATGAAAGTCGACCTTAGTGGTCCAACTACCTCTTTTTCATAGCATTCATTCAGCTTTTAACCTTCTCTACTTCACTGTTCAGAATAAAATATCAAAATTAAAAAGTTGTAAATTTGCTTAGAGAAATTATAATTGCCAATTACTTCGATGAAATTGTTAATTTTTTGAAATTAAAATTATAATTCAAGATTCTAGAGACAACCAGTAAACTGATGACCTAAATCACAGCACTGAAATGTCTGTGCTGTTCATTTTCATTTTTATAATTAACATCAGGACTAAACTACATCATTATTCCAAATAGCTTCTTATCTACTAGACTTAACAACACATTTGTTATGCACTACCTTTATACACCATGTTATCAAATAAATATACAAGACTATTGATTCTTGATATTCTATTAAAAACAAAGAAGAAAGTTACTAAACCATACACTTCAAGGCTATCGGATTCAATTGTCAACTCCCCTTATCAGAAGTAGGACTGACAAGCGATTCGAACAAAATGAAATGAGAATATAATACAGGTCATTGCTGCATTAATAATTCCAAGAAAAAAAAATTAATTACTTGATCAATGTTGAGGGGCAGGGTAGTCATTTGAAGAAGTTGGGGTTGTTGAAGCCATGACTGGATGATTTTCTGAGCCAAAGGGTCGAGTCCAAGGCCGGCCCCGGTGGCGCTACCAGTAGGAGGAGAGCCTGTCTTTTCCAGCACCACCACATCCCATCCTGCTGCAATCAGTGCGTGCGCGCAGGATATCCCTGCTATGCTGCCTCCCAACACCACAGCCTTCTTCTTCCTCTTCTCCTCCATCTGTCTCTCTCTCTCTCTCTGTTGGGCGTTTCTTGAATTTGGGCAAGAAGAGGATAACAGGAATCATTTATCATTATTCCAAGTGCAAGGGGAGATAATATTTTGCTTTTCTTTTCTCCTTTTTTATTTTTCCCTTTTTTTCTGGACAATATTTTGTTTTTGGTTCAAAGCCCAGCTTTTCACCTCCCAAAAACATCATATTTGATGATGTGTGGTTAAATCACCTTTTACTATGATCGTGCCAATTTAGATTGGTTAGGTCCTTCATGACAACAGTCAAGTTTTTTATGGTTCCAAACTGTTAATGCCCGTTTTCTTTACCATTTTCATACCGTTTTCTGTTTTCAATTATCTAAAATAGTGAAAACACGTTCTCTTAACACAGAAAACCAAAAAGGATAAATTTGTCGTTTTGGGTGTTTTTAGTTATAATTAAGTCAAAATCTTCAAAACGCGTTTTGTGTATTTTCAAAACAATTTTTCAAAATGTTAAAAAGAACACATTTTCAACAATTTCAAAATGGACACTTAAAACAAAAAACTCAAAACACAAAATTGAAATATAAAGAGAATAGCCCCTAAGCTTTTTTGGGAAATTTGGCTAAATAATCGGGTTGGATCGTAAAGTGTTTGGAGAAATAGCCTTTGACCAACATTAAAAAAGAAAAAAAAAGTTCAAGATATTTTAATTGGCCAAATGACAAAATTATCCTTCAATTAATAGTAAAATATTTATTTAATTTCCCTCATTTTCACCTCATTTTTTCTTCAGTTTCACTATGAAACACTTTTCTCTAAATGTGAAACTAACGTCATCTTCTTCACCTCAATTTCCTGTGCATTTCAAGATTACAAAAAGTTTTCTTTTTTTATTCAAGTTTATTTCACACTATTTTATCCCTCTTTGTTATAAATTGGTAGAGGTAAATTTTTCTTCGATTTTTTTTATTTTGAAATGTGATTTTATGCTTCAATTGGTGTAGGAATAACATGAAAAAGTATATAAAAAATGCATAATTTATGATTTAGTAGTTTATTTGTATAATTTTAGTTGAGTTGTTTTTTTTAAAATATGTAATGTAATGAATTAGTGACTCGTTTCTCATACTATTCTCTTTTAGCCATAAATTTGAGTTTTTTTATGTTTATTTTGTAATCCTTATTGCAGTAATTGCAGTTATTGTAGTAGAAACTTAGATTATTGAAGTTCACTAATTTGAAGGGTGTATTAGGAGGGTGTTGGAGTTGAAGTTATTTTAATTATATAGAGAAGATATGTATATAGATGTTTGGATGTGGATTAAGGTTTAAATTTTTTGAGGAAAGATTGAAGATCATTAAAAGTAGCAAGGCGCTACTATACCTTCTCGCTAGAGTGAAAAATAGAGGCAGGATTTAGCAGTGACAGGAAAATTCTGCCTCTAACCGATTAAGCAAAGAACAGAAGCAGGAACTCGAGCTGGCACCTCTTGCATCTTGTAGAAAATTTATTCTGAATTCCTAAACATGAAACAACATCTCTTTCTATGGAGGAACACATCACTACAACATATAGATATCGACATTTTGATCTTTCAACACCTTCAAATTCTAAATTCTAGTTTTATATTTTTGTTTTATATTTTGTTCTTTGTTTTTTTGAGAGCTTTTGCTTATTTGATTGGCATTAGTTCATTAAGGATTGATTAGTTCTTGGACCTTTGCTACAATATTATATGTCTTGATTTTTGTCTTCGTTGGATATTCCAATGCATCAACATTGGCAGACCATGGTTGATGTCGCCAGAGAAGTTGGAGCTGATGTTGTTTTCTCATGGTTGATGTCAATTGATTTGCTTTGATCTTTTTAGATACTAGTTTCTTTTATTTATTGTCTTTCTATTATTACAATTTAAGATGATTTATTTTAACTTGCTTTGATCATTGATTTAGACAAATACTGAGTACAAAATTTCCAGAAAAGCCAATCAAAAGAAATAGAATCGGAAGTGTAAGAAAAAATGAATTGTTTATTATCTTTGTTAAAGAAAATAAAATTACAAATAATCTTCAAGCTAGATTATGTAAATTAAATGTTTATAAGCGTCTATGACAACGATACAAGTGCCGTTACAGGTCTTATAAGCTTCCATAAGAATGACACAAATGATGCTACTAGACTTTTAAACGTCTATGAAAACGATACAAGTGTCGTTACTGAGATGAAAACGTTCTTGAGAATAGCACAAGTATCGTTATTGACTTATAAGAGTCCATTATAATTTATATCATTTCAATCGTTCTTTATCACATGTCCATTGCTTGAGGTCGTTATGTTGGAAACAAATCAAAATATAGGAGAAAATAATAGAACGGCACAAGTGACGTTATTGAGAAGAAAATAGCCCTCATGTCACTCTATATGTAAACACGATTATAAGTAGCCATGTCCCCTTCGTGCCCCGAGAACCATAAGTTGAACTTATTTAAGTTGTAAGATGGATACGACGATTACAAAAGTAGTGAGATATGCTCATTACTTATATTCTAATGAATTAGTGGAATGACTTTTTTTTCTTCACATGAAAATGACACAGGTATTATATTTGCAAATATGAGTGTTCATGAGAACAGCACTTGTGTCGTCATTTAGATAAGAACGTCTATGAGAATGGCACAATTATCGTTATGTTTGTAAATATACTTGTCCATGAGAACGGTACTTGTGCCGTTACTGAGATGAAAATGTCTATATCTTATAATCTTTGTCAATTCAACTGTTTTTCATCATATGATCAACTTTTTTGACTTTCTTAAGTTACGGGATCCAATGCTTGATGTCATTGCATTGGAAAAGAAACAAAATATAGGAAAAATCAATCAATGCTTGATGTCATTGCATTGGAAAAGAAACAAAATATAGTAAAAATCAATAGAACGAAACAAGATGACACGAGCTGTTATTGAAATGAAAACGACCATCGTGCCATTCTATCTATAAATACGAGTATAAGTATCCACGACTCGTCCGTGCTTCGAGAACCAATAAGTTGAACTCATTCCAGTTGCAAGATGAACATGTCGTTTACTAAAGTTACAAGATATGCTCTAATTATATTTTCTAACGAATCAATACAATGACTTGTGATTTTGCCAACTCGATATCATATAATATGTCAATTCAATCGTTCTTTGTCACATGATCAACATTTTTGACATTCTTAAGTTAGAGGGTTCAATTCTTGAGGACATTACATTGGGAAATAAGCAATATATTTGAAAATCAACAGAACGACACAAGTACCGTCACTGATAATGAAATGACACTTATGCCGTTATGTACATGAAAAGAGTATAAGCAGCCACGATCCGTTCATGCCCCGATAATCAATTAGTTGAATTCATTTAAGTAGCAATATGTACATGTCATTTACAAAAGTTGAGAGATGTGCTCATTAATTATATTTTCTAACAAATCAATACAATGACTTGTAATTTCACTAACTCGATATCATATAATCCATGTCAATTCAACCGTTATTTGTTACATGATCAATCTTTCTGACATTCTTAAATTATGAAATCTAATGTTTGAGAAGGAAAATATTAGACAAATCAACATAAGTCACTAGTACCGTTTTGCTATAAACAAGAGTCTAAGCAGCCACGACTCATCCATGCCCCGAGAACAAATAAGTTGAATTCATTTCAGTTTCAAGATGAACATGTCGTTTATAAAATTTGAGAGATGTGCTCATCAATTATATTTTCTAATGAATTAATACAATGACTTGTGATTTCACAAATTCGATATCATATAGTCGATGCCAATTCAACTGCTCTTTGTATCATGATCAATCTTTTTGACTTTCTTAACATAGAGGATCCAATGTTTGAGATTTTTGTATTGGAAAAGAAGGAAAATATTGGAAAAATCACTAAAATGATACTAGTACCATTAAATAACACTTGTGCCATTTTGTCTAGAAACAAGAGTCTAAGCAGTCACGACTCAACCATGCCCCGAGAAACAATAAGTTGAACTCATTCAGTTGCAAGATGAACATGCCATTTGCAAAAGTTGAGAGTTGTGCTCATTAATTATATTTTTCAACGAATCAATACGACGATTTATAAATTCACCAACTCGATATTATATAATCTATATCAATTCAACCATTCTTTGTTACATGATCAATCTTTCTGACTTTTTCAAGGTAGAAGATCCAATGTTTGAGATTGTTGTATTGGAAAAAAAGAAAAATATTGGAGAAATCAATAGAACGATACTAGTGCCGTTAAACGAAACAAGTACCGTTGTATCTATAAACATGAGTATAAGCAGTCATGACCCATCCGAGCCCCTATAATTGATAAGCTAAACTCATTTAACTTGCAGGATGGACATGACGTTTACAAAATTCGAGAGATATGCCATTACTTATATTTTATAAAGAATGTAGATCATGACTTGTGATTTCACCACTGGATATCATATAATTTATATCAATTCTATCGCTATTTGTCATATAAACAATATTTCTGACTTTCTTATGTTATGGGGTCCAATGCTTGAGTTTGTTGTGCTGGAAAAGAAGCAAAATATTGAAAAAATCAGCAGAACAGCGCAAGTGCAGTAAAACGACACTTGTACCATTTTGTCTATAAACACGAATATAAGCAGCTATGACCCGTCCGAACCCCGATAATCGATATGCTGAACTCATTAAAGTTACAAGATGGACACGTCGTTTACAACATTTGAGAGATATGCTCATTACTTATATTTTCTAATGAATGTAAATCGTGACTTGTGATTTTACCACTGGATATCATACAATCTACGTCAATTTTACCATTATTTGTCACATAATCAACATTTCTGAATTTCTTAAACTAGGAGGGCCACTGCTTGAGTTCGTTGCGTTGGAGAAGGAGCAAAATATTGAAGAAATCAATAGAACAACACAAGTACCGTTAAACAATACTTGTGTCGTTCTATCTATAAACACGAGCATAAG